GCTTTCATTATGTAATGTCCTTTGTGTCAGGCAAATTTCTTTGCTTTGAAATCAGTTTTATTCTGATACTAATATAGCTACTCCTACTTTATTTTGATTTAATGCTTGAATGTTATATTTTTCTTCTATCTTTTAAATTTCAACCTATTCATATGATTACACTTAAAATGCACCTCTGGTAGATGGCACATAGTTGGGTTATGTTTTTTAATTCACTCTGCCAATATCTGTCTTTTAATTGTAATATTGAGACCATTTACATGTCGTATCAGTATTGGTATGTTAAAGTTTAAGCCTGCACTTCATTTTGTTGACGTTTGTTCTTTCTGTTTTTCATTTCTCTATTTTATTCTTCCTGCCTTCCTGTGGGTTGCATGAACATTTTCCAGCATTTTGTTTTGATTTATCTATAGTGTTTTGAGTATATTTCTTTGTGTAGCTGTATGAGTGTTTCTTCTAGGTATTGCATTATATGTTCATAAGGTATAATCTTGGTATTATAGACTGTGAATCTTATTTAAACCTTCTGCTTTAGCTGCTTACTCCCGACACTGATGAGTTTGAGGTGGGGTGGGTGATGTCCTGTTATTGTTAGGTGGGGTTGAGGTCCTGGTTTCCCTCCTGGCCTCGGTTGACACCGAATAGTAAGACAGATTCCTTGTTATTGTTGGGTGATGTTGGCAGTTCTGTATCTCCACTGAACTCCACTAATATCACACTGTCTGGGAGGGGAAGCAGTGACTTGTTACTGTTCGCCAGGCCTTCTCTACCGACACCAGCGAGGAGAGGTTTGCCTTAGTTCCCACTGGACTATGGTGAAAGTTCTGACTCTTCACTACGCTTCCTCCTTCTAACACCAGCACAGAGGAAGACGAGTGCCTCCATTACTTCATGGTGAGGGAAATTCAGGCTACCAGCATAGACTCCTCTGGCACCAGGGATGGGGGTCATTCATTACCTTTTGGTGGGGACGAAAGTCCCAGATCCCTTCTCAGCCTCTCCAACAACACCCTAGAGGGGGGATTGAGGCACCGTGTTACAGCCTCTGTTTATGTATTGCTGGTGTAGGTATGGGTGAGACCACAGTTTATTTTTTCTGTGGGAATTGACTAGAGTAAAGTGGTTATTGTCTAAATTTTTCTGCTTAGCCAGACTGCTCCTTTTTTGCTCTTTTGGCTAGAATGATTGGAGTTTTCTTGTGGTTTTTTCCCTATCTTCACTCTTTGGCATTTCTGAGTTGCTGGCTCATTTAGCTCCAAATCTGGGATAGATGATACAAAAATAAAACCCAGGGAGCTCACTATTACGTTGTTGGTGGGGTACCAATGTCACTTCATTCATTTTGCTCACTTTTCTCATTTCTATTCTATATCCCTGTTGCTGTGTTTTCTCAGTCTGTTCACCCTTATAACCCTTTCAATTGTATCTTCATTTCTATGGGGTTTTAATTTTTTCCTTTTACTTCTCTCTGCCAGCACATCTTTCGTCTCCTCTTTCCCCCTCTCACTATTTTGTTTCTGTTATTTTACTTCTACTTTGCTGTCTTCCTTCATAGAAATAATTGCTTCATTTCATGATGAAATAATTGTGCTCAGTTTTACCTACTCCTCCATCAAAATATTGTTGTGGTCAGTGCCCTAGTCTTAATTTTAATAATATCATGCTGCTCTTTTTTCTTATCTTCTTATAGATGCTTGTGGTAGCTCCTTTTGAAAATCACTTCCCTGACTCTGTTAGGTTCCCACAGGAGTCCAGTGACCCGGCTGCCATCCCAGGCAGGTTGGCTGTTCAGACAAAGGCTCTTGACATTTTAGCCCCCGCAAAGAGTGCGGAAGATAGAGTGTCTGTGGGATTCTTTGTGCAGTCCTCTTTCCACCCCACCCTCTCTGTCTTTATGAGTCAAAGCAGCCCGGGAAGTCCCTGCTGCCACCTGGTTCATCTCCTGTTACGGGCAAAGAATATAAATTTGGACTTCAGAGTGTTTCTTTTTACCTTCAGGAAGAATATTTTTCTTGCTTCTTTCTCAGATCTTTTGCCACTAGTTGCCCTTAGGCCCCAGCAAGAGGAGCCCTGCTCTGAGCCCTGTGCTTGGAGGGACCTACATATCACAAACATTGAAACTCAAGGATACTTTGCTTTCTTTTTCAAGTTTTGTAAGAAAGGTTTTTGAAAGATTTGCAACAGGATTAGTGAACAGAAGTTATGGGAGAGGGAGGGATATAGGAGTGAGCTAAACTTCTCAGACCGGAAGGTGCTATTTAGATTTGGGGATGGTCAAGTTTAAACAAAAGCAGCAGGTCTTTCTCCTTCCTGAGGGCAGTGCTAGATGGGAGATGGGAGTGGGGCCAGGGGAAGAAAATTACAGCCACTCCCTGGGAAGGGAGAGAGAGAGGCTGCTTTTGTTTAAAGTTAGCCACCTCAGGGTACCTAACGCAGGTAACTGGGGAGACCTGGGTTCCTGGAAAACTGTGCTGCTTCACTCCTCTCCCCAGGGCTCCATGCCCTGGAGGCACCTCCTGGAAATCCTGTCAGAAAGTGTGGCTGGGGGAGTGGAATTCCCCCTCGGACCGTAGCATCCGTCCTGCCCTACCCCTGACAGCAGGAGAGGCCCAGGGAAAAAGAAACGCTTTTAGCCTCTAGATCTTTAGGGCAAATGCCTAGGGAGCAGCAGGCTGTGGGGCTCTGGGTAGGACTGAGTTAGGCTGAGCTTGGTATTGAACTTCTATGTTTTGACATATGGTATGTGGATTTTCCTTTGTCCATTTGCTGCAGGCCCTGTCAATATTCGTGGGCAGTACTGGCCACTGGTTTGGCTATTAAATAAAGTTCTGATCCTTAATTTTATTAACAATGGGCCTTTAAATTTAAAAACAACATAGGAGCTCCCTCTTGTGGTGTATTGTCAAATCACATGCTTTTTAATTAATGTTGAAAGGACAATATCCCTGGGGAATTGGTTCCAGGATCCCCACGGATACCAGAATCCATAGATGTTCAAGTCTCTTCTGTAAAATGGTGTAGTATTTGCATATAACCTACCCACCATTCTCCGTATGCTTTAAATCATCTGTAGGTTACTTATAATACCTAATACAATATAAATGCTATGTAAATAGATGTTATACTGTATTTTAAAATTTATATTATGTTTATTGTTGTGCTGCTATTTTTTATTTTTTCTTGAATATTTTGATACGCAGTTGGTTGAATCTGTAGATATGGAACTTGTGGATAGGGAGGGCCAACAGTATTTTGTCAGAAATTATTTTTGATTTCCCGTAAGAAACTGAAATCCTAGGATCAAATGGTTTCCTCAACTAATAATACCACAGAATTCACAGAATAAGTCATCTAGATTTATATACAATTTAATAAGTTATTTTATACTTGTTTCTAATTATCTTCCGGTCCACATGGTATCTCTGAATGAAGTATTTCTCTGTAGGCTGACATGTACAATCTAGTAGTTTTTTTCACGGAAGGCTTATTCCAGGAGATTTAAAATATTGTATGTTTAAATATTTGTCTTTATCTTTATAGCTCAATGACAGTTTCACTGAGCATAAAAATGGGTGGGTCACACTGTCTTTCACTGATTACTCTTTCGATGTTTCCTTATTGCCTCTATGGGATTAATGTTGCTTTAGCGAAGACTGAATGTAAGCTTACTGCTTTTTTTATTTCCCTCTGTGTAAGTGACTTTATCTTTTGGCCTGGCTATTCAAAAAAGTCTTTCTTCGTCTTTTAAGTCCAGTAACTTTACAAGGGAATATCTTTGTGTTGAAGGTCCTGCATCAAATTTTCCCGGGAGGCTCTATTCCTTTTTTAAATTGTCTTTAGATCAGTAAATAAAGATCAGTCTTTATTTTAGCAAAGTTTCCTTAATTTTACCTTTGAATATGTATATTTTCCTATTCTAGTTGATTACGCTTATGTTTGATTGTCCTTGTCTGAATATATACAATATTAAAGGGTATATTCTAAATTTGAAATGTAAAAATATTTTATACATAGACTTGTATCTTGTAATTCGATGACCATGAACTTAATTTCTCCATTCCAATTATATGAAAAATATAATGAGTTAAATGAGTTAAACGAATCTCAGGATTGGTGCTTTGGGAGCCTTCCTTACTTATCTCATCCATCAGGAAATAATATATCTTGATCTAATGTAAAGAAATGAAAACAGAATTAGCTGAGGCTGTTGTTAAAATACACGTTCTTGAGTATTACACTGGATTCAAAGGGAAAGGGCTGCGAATATTATTTTTAACAATCATCTCAGCTCATTAATATTATCGGCTGAGTTTAGGAAATATGAATTTACGTAAATATCCAGTCTGTATTTTGAATGCGATTTTTCGAAAAAGATTTTGATCAAATCTTGAAGGTAATCATTTTTCCTTTGATAAGAATATACTTGAAAGAATATCTTATAGACCTAAAGATTTCTCCAAAAAAGGTAACTTAATAAAATAGTTTGAGCTATCTAAAAGAACTAGATATAATTTCAGTATTGCTGCTTTATAGGAAATATATATATAGTAAATATATATATCTATAGAGAGAGGGGGGATCATTATATTTTGGTCAAAATATTCCACAGCCTAAGTATATTTTTCAAATGTGGTTAAGGTATTGATTTATAAGTTCAATATGATAGCCATATTGTATCTGTTTTCTTTCTTAATCTGAAAACCATCTTTCCCTGGCACTTCTTGCTTCAATTGTGTTTAGATTAGTTTACCTGAAAATTTGTTAATTTTCATTCTTAATGTTTCTCAGTTTTATTCTATATTTTCTAAATTTTGAAATGATAATATTTTATAAAAATTTTCAAGTAATATATATATTTTTAAATAGTTTAAATATAATCAAAATGAAACAATTGGAAGAAATAATGTTATGTTAAGCAAGTATAATTTGTATGATATATATTTGAACTGTTAACTAAATTTCTGTAAAATTAACAATTTTATTTTATTTTTCTCCTAAAGACACTTGCTTAATAACAAGGAATAGTACCAGTTGTACCTCTTCAACTTCTTCACTTTCCAACTACTTGTATGTTTTCATCTTGGGACAACTATTGCTGGGGACAGGAGGAACTCCCCTCTACACTCTGGGAACAGCCTTTATTGATGATTCTGTGCCCACACACAAATCTTCTCTCTATATAGGTGAGCTTACTCTCTAAACTGTCTCAGTATCATTTTGCCTTATTATTTATTTTAGAAGTAAAGCATAAAATAGGCTTATTAAAAATTTAGTTGTAATGCCATAAGTATTTCTATTAGATAAATGCAGTATTACTTTTATATGTTTAATTATTTCCTAATGTATTAAGTCAGTAAATAGAAAGCATAATGATTTTTGTTGACGTCCTCCTTTATTTCTTGCTCTGGACATGCCAGCCTTCCTGGATGGGAAGAACCATCCAAGCAGCACTCTGTCTAGATTGCTTGAATCCCAGGGTTACTTACACAAGGTGTGGAGATTGAACACTGCTCTTCTATGTGATTATTACATCCTGCAAGGACTTGACTAGAGTTTACAAAAGAAACCACAGATAGTGTCTAGAAACTTGATGGAGTTTTTCATTTCAAATTACCCTTTTTTAAATATATGACTCATTGTTTTTTCTTTTGTGATCTAATTCCTGGTAGCATGAGTTTTTCTAAAATGCATCCCCAGATCCTAAAATGATAGAGCTAATTACAGTATGCATGGCCCTACATCTAGTTATTGCATATTTTATTTGCATTTTAGTTTTCTCTTTATCAATCTATTATTCTAACATAGAAGATCCATTGCCACAGCCACGAAAGTGAGTATGTTCAGTGCAGCCCTTATAAAGACTACTAAATCTGCTTGGGCACATTGCTAATGTAAAAACTTCTGTAGCAGTTTTATACTTCTACAAAACTTATAATGTCGTCTTACAAAATTATTAACCTAACCCAGTTGGGAATTATGAAAAAAAGATCTGTCACCAAAGGTAATTTGTGACTTACTGATTTCCAGCATTTTTAATCACGTATTTTTATCCATAAATTTTTGAGCATGAACCCTTTATGTGTGTACATTTAATTATTTATATATTACATACTTTAATTTTTCTAATAATTTTTCTATTAAAATATAGCTAAAATATAAATTAAGGTAGTCAACAGATAAAAAAATTCTATATGTTTTCAGATCACCTTGTGTGAGCTTTCATTTGGAGATTTGAAGTAATGCATAAGTCATTTCTGCCACTGATATATGCTTAGTTTCAGGTATAAATTAGTTTTCTGTTCTTTGGTATGTGAGGATGAGAATCTTAGCAGTTAAAAAAACATCTAGAAGGTGATAATACACTAGACATTGGTGTATGCATAAATTTCGCTTTGTGGAGGAATCATTAAGATGATTGATTAGAAGCGCCCAGCACTTGCCCTCTCCATGAATAAAGACCAAAACAATGAGTAGATAACTGCATATTGAGTAGAGCATCTAAGAGAGAACATGAGAATTCATCAAGGAAGAGAAAAAAACCGTCTGAGATGTGGAAAATTGAGATGGTAACAGAGAGAGGGAAGCGAAGCCCCTAACTGGTTTGGCTTAGAGCCAAGAGGGACTCCCCATTGTGGGACAAAAATAAGCAGGAGATCCCCAAAAGTCTACATTCCTATGACAAATGCCTGCAATCCTAGGCACAGAACACCTCAGCCCTCACAGGCCCTGAGCCTAGTATAGGCAGCTGCCTGGAATCCACATAACTGCATCGTTCCAGAGAGGGAAGTCATACTGAGTTACTCCCACCTTCTTGGACCCAAGCTACTTTAGCATGGCACCATTTTGAGATTGGAGCCACCACCAGACAACATTCTGCCTTAGGTCCCAATAGCCTCTGCATTTCCACATCTCTGGGATCCTGGTGACATGCTCCCACATCCACCCACAAGGCTATAGTGTCATAACACCAGCTACACCCAGAGGGGCAGCTATGTCTCTGGCACACATAACCACACAACACCCTATATCCCAGGGAACAGACAGTTGAGCACATCAGAGAAGCTGCCCCATAGACATAGGGGGAACCAAAGTGCACACTCCCCAGAACCTGAGAGTTGCCTGCATGGGCTGACTGCCTCTGATAGCAACCATGCCTCCTCCAGCAACAGAGCTGTTTTGTGTCTGTGTATGTCTCCCAGAGGCCAGAGGACCAGCCTTCTTGAGGCTTGTTGCCAACACTACTAGCTTCCCATGTGTGCCTCCTGGGGTGCCAAGGACCAGCCCACCCAGGCCCTCCAACACCATCGCTGGCAATACACTGGCCACTACCACTTCCAGCATCTACAAACACTGACTCTGTCTGAGGACCAGCCTATTGGGAATCCAGTGCCAACACTATCACTGGTGCCTGCATATGCCATCCAGTGGCCAGAGCTAGCTTGCATGGAGCCTGCCACCAATACCTCTGGCACCTGCACGTGATGCTCAGGAACCCTAGGACCTTCCCACTTGGGCCTATTGCTGCTAACACCCAGCAAACCTACCCCCTATAGCAGTAGGGATGCTGCACGCTTTCATAAACTGCCCAGGAGCCCAAGGACTGGCCTGCCCAGGACCCCCCACCACCACTACCAGTGTTCAGGCATGCACCCCAGGGACCTGAGAACTGGCCCACCCAGTGTCCCTTTCACAAGCAATGCTGTGATACAGCCTCCAAAAACAACTGCAGCCTAAGCCACTAAGGACCTCAAAGACACTGCTGGCTTTGATTACAATGAAGTATGCATATGGAGATTACCCTATTGTGCCATCTAGAACCAAAGCTAGAGCACCATACCCAGCTGACACTATAGATACATCTACAGGAAAAAGTCATACCCTATGAAAGCCTCTCAATAAAATTGGAAGAGTGGCTGTTACTCCAGATGTGCAGATATCAATGTAGTGACATGAGAAACATGACAAAGCAAGGAAACATAACACATCAAAAGAATCACGATAATTCTCTGGTAACACACTCCAAAGAAAAGAAAATCTATGAAATGACTGAAAAAGAATTCAAAATAATGATTGTAAAGAAACTCAGCAAGATAAAAGAAAAACAGATAGAAAATCAAAGAAATCAAGAAAACAATTCATGATGTGAATGAGAAATTCAACACAGAGATATCATAAAAAAGAATTAAACAGAAATCCTTGAACTGAAGCATTCAATGAATGAAATAAAAAATATAATCAAAGCTTCAACAATAGACCAGATCAAGAAGAAGAATTTCCAAACTTGAAGGCAGTCTTTTGAAATAATGCTGTCAGAGAGGAAAAAAAAAAAAAAAGGAAAAAGAATAAAGAAAGTATATGTAATATATGGGACACCATTAAGTAAACAAATATTCACAGTTGGGAGTTCCTGAAAGGGAAGAGATGGGAAAAGGCATAGATAATATATTTATTGAAATAATAGCTGAAAACTTCCCAAGTCTTGGGAGAGAAATAGACATCCAGATGCAAGAAGCTCCATGATCCCCAAATAGATTCAACCCGAAAATGTCCTCTCCAAGGCATATTATAGCCAAACTGTCAAAAGTCAAACACAAAGAGAGAATTCTAAAAACAGCGAGAAAAGAGGGTCAAGTCACATATGAGGTAATCTCCATCAGACTAACAGCAGATTTCTCAGCAGAAACTTTACAGGCCAAGGAAAAAATAGGATAATATATTCAAAGTGCTGCAAGAAAAACCTGTTAGCCAAGAATGCTATGCCCAGCAAAGCTATCCTTCGGAAATCAAGAAACAAAGTCTTTCTCAGACAAGCAAGTTGCTCAAACTGAGGGAATGAATCATCACTAGGCCAGTTCTACACAAAATGCTTAAGGATGTTCTACATCTAGAAGCAAAAGGACAATATTGACGATCATGAAAATACATGCAAGTACAAAACTCAGTGGTAGTGCAGATACTTAAATGAGAAAGAGAGAGAAATTAACATTAACACTACAGAAAACTACCAGACTTCAAAGATAAACAATAAGAGTGTAAGAAAGGATATACAAAATAATCAGAAAACAATTAACTAAATGTCAGTAATTTAAATTCTCGCCTATCAATGATAACAACCTTGAAAGTAAATGGTTTAAATTCCCCAAGTAAAAGATATAGACTGGCTGAATGGATTAAAAATAAAAGAAAACAACAACAACAGCAACAACCAAAAACCGTCAAAGATATGAGAATATGCTACCTACAAGAAAGTCACTTCAACACATAGACTTAAAGTGAAGGGTGGAAAAAGATAGTTGAGAAGAACGGAAACCAGTAGCAGGCAGAAGTACCTATACTTAAATCAGACAAAATAGACTTTAAGTCAAAAAATATAAAAAAGAGACAAAGGTCATTATACGACAAAGAGATCAGTTCACCAAAATGATAGAACAATTATAATCATGTATGCACTCAACATCAGAGCACCCAGATATATAAAGCAAATTATAATTAGAGCTAAAGAGAGAGACCCCAATTCAGTAGTAGTTGTGGCCATTAACATCCCACTTTCAGCACTAGAAAGATGATCTAGACAGAAAATCAACAAAGAAATATCAGACTTAAACTGTAGTAGAGAATAAATGGACCTAACAGAACATCACATTTCATCCAATAGCTGCAGAATAAATGTTCATCTCTTCAGTACATGGAACATTGTCTGGGATAGACCATATATTAAGCTACAAAACAAATCTCAACAAATTTTAAAAAGTTAAAGTCATATCAAGTATCTTCTCATACCATAATGGAATAAAACTAGAAATCAGTAACAAGAGGAACTTTGGAAACTGTACAAATACATGGCAATTAAAGAACATGCTCCTGAGTGACCAATGGATAGAGGAAGAAATTACGAAGGACATTAAAATATTTATTAAAACAAATGAAAATGGAAACACAACATACCCAAACCTATGGATTACAGCAAAAGCAGCACTAACAGGGAAGTTTAGAGCCATAAATGTCTGCATCAGAAAACAGAAAGCTGTATAGCCAAAACAATGCTGAACAAAAAGAACAAAGCTGGAGGCATCATGCTACCAGACCTCAAAATCTAATCAAAACAGCATGGTATTGGTATCAAAACGACACAGAGCAATGGAACAAAATACAGAACGCAGAAATAAATCCATGTATTTACAGCCAACTGAGTTGTGATAAAGGTTCCAAGAACGTACACCGGGAAATGGGCAGCCTCGTCAGTAAATGGTGCTGGGAAGACTGCATACCCGAATATACGGAAGAATTAAACTAGACTCCCATCTCTCATCATATACAAAAATCAACTAAAAGTGGATTAAAGACTTAAATTTAAGACCTGAAACTGTAAAACTATAAGAAAACATAGGGGAAATGTTTCCGGACATTGGTTGAGGCTAAGGTTTTATGGGTAAGACTGTAAAAGCATAGGCAGTAAACACAAAAATAGACAAATCAGACTATATCAAACTAAAAAGCTTCTGTACAATAAAGGAAACAATCAACAGAGTGAAGAAACAACCCATAGAATGGTAGAAAATATTTACAAATGATTCATTTGATAAGGGATGAATATCCAGAATATATGAGGAATTCAGGCAACTGAACAAAAGAAAAAAAACCTGATTAAAAAGTGGGCAAAGGATCTCTATAGACATTTCTCAAAACAAGACATACAAATGGGCCAATGAATATATAAAAAATGCTCTACTTCACTAATCATCAGAGAAATGCAAATCCAAACCACAAGGAGATATTATCTCATCTAAGTTAGAATGACTATTTCCGAAAAGAAAAGAAAAGAAAAGAAAAGAAAAGAAAACAAAACAAATGCTGCCAAGTATGTATAGAAAAGGGAACTCTTATGCACTGTTGGTGGGAATGTAAAATAGTACAGCTGTTATGGAAAACTGTATGGAGGTTTCTGAACAACTAAAAGTCATGTGATCCTGGAATCCCACTACTGAGTATTTATCCAAAGGAAAGGAATTCAGTATATGGAAAAGATATCTGCACTTCCATGTTTATTGCAACACAGTTCACAATAGCCAAGATATGGAACCAACCTAAATGTTCATCAACAGATGAATGGATAATGAAAATGCGGCATGTATACACAATGGAATATTATGTAGCTACAAAAATGAAATTCTATCCCTCACAGCAACATGGATGAGCCTGGAGAACATAATTTTAAGAGAAGTGTCAGGCACACAAAGATAAATACCGCATGTTCTTACTCATGTGGGGGCTAAAAAAATTCAGCCCATAGAAGTAGAGTAGAATTATGGTTATTAAAGGTCGGGAAAGGTAGAGGGGAGAGGACCACAGGGAGAGTGTTGTTAATGGATACAAAATTACAATTAGGAAGGATAAGTTCTAGTGTTCTATATCACTGTAGGGTGAATATAGTTAGCAATTATTTATAGTGTAGATTCAAAACGCTAGAGGAGAGGATTTTGAATGTTCACATTACATACAAATGATAAATGTTTGAGGTGACGGGTATCCTAATCACTCTGATTTGATCATTACACATTGTATAGATGTACTGATATATCACTGTGTACCCCATAAATATGCACAATTATTATGTGTCAACTAAAAATAAAAGAAAAAATGGTGAAATTATATCCAGCTGACACCCGCAATACTTAGAAGCTTAAAGGAAAAACAATAACAACAATAAAAAGGCAATGATTGGCCAAAATAAATAAATAAATTTCATTCTGTAAAAATTCATAGGTATATATGGCAAAGTTTTGAATTTCTGACAGAAATAAGCTCACAATCCTTTGTACAACCATGAATAAGAAAATGTGGTCATGGGGTATGTGATTGGTTCTCTGAGCCTTTTTAGTCCTAGGTTAATCATTTTTTTTTTTTTTTGAGACAGAGTCTTGCTCTGTTGCCCGGGCTAGAGTGCAGTGGCGTCAGCCTAGCTCACAGCAACCTCAAACTCCTGGGCTCAAGCGATCCTTCTGCCTCAGCCTCCCTAGTAGCTGGGACTACAGGCATGTGCCACCATGCCCGGCTAAATTTTTATATATATATTTTTAGTTGTCCAGATCATTTCTTTCTATTTTTAGTAGAGACAGGGTCTTGCTCTTGCTCAGGCTGGTCTCGAACTCCTGACCTTGAGCGATCCACCTGCCTTGGCCTCCCAGAGTGCTAGGATTACAGGCGTGAACCACTACGCCTGGCCCTAGGTTAATCTTTAAACTATAATTCAGTTTAATTCTGCTGCAAGTCAAAGTGGGGAGAGTTACGAAGAGCAAGAAGTTTAAACTAATGGCTTATATCTAAGAAATAGACTTAGAAGATCCAGGTTTTTTTTTTTTTTTTTTTTTTGAGACAGAGTCTTGCTCTGTTGCCCGGGCTAGAGTGCAGTGGCGTCAGCCTAGCTCACAGCAACCTCAAACTCCTGGGCTCAAGCGATCCTCCTGCCTCAGTCTCCCAAGTAGCTGGGAATACAGGCATGCGCCACCATGCCTGGCTAATTTTTTCTATATATATTTTTTAGCTGTCCAATTAATTTCTTTCTATTTTTGGTAGAGACGGGGTCTCGCTCTTGCTCAGGCTGGTCTCAAACTCCTGAGCTCAAACGATCCACCCGCCTTGGCCTCCCAGAGTGCTAGGATTACAGGCATGAGCCATCGCGCCCGGCCAGAAGATCCAGGTTTTGAAGTCAGCTTCTGTAGTGTAAAATAAAGAGCGCTTTCCTTGTTGTACAGAGTGGAAAAGGCTTCTTGTTTTACAGTTTTCTTCCATGATATATTATCATATGAGTAAAGGATTATGTGGATATGTTAATACTACCCCTGTCACCAGTTAACATAACTTTCCATATATTTATTATTTTTGATTTTATTATAATCATCGTTATAGTCAAACAGCTTTTACATTAAGTCATATATTTTAGGCTCCTTGCCTTGACCATTGACCAAATGATACCATACAAATGGCATATTTTTAGTAAAAATATGTGTAATTTTGATATCTATTCATTTAGATTTTTCTATGGTAAAACATTTGTTCTTCTTCACTATTGTTAGCCAAGCAAAGCGAAGTTGTATGTATGACTATATTCAATGTCTTTGTTCTTCTCTAGGAATTGGCTATGCCATGTCAATCTTAGGTCCTGCTATTGGCTATGTGTTGGGAGGACAGCTGCTAACCATGTACATTGATGTTGCTATGGGACAAAGGCAAGACAGTATCTATTTTTCTTTTATTTAAATTTATTTTATTTTAATAATGCTAGTATCACAGAATATTTTTACAGTACCTCCTAGTACAATATGAGGGATTTTTCAGGAAACAAAACTGAACACAAATAATTCTTATAAAATATCTTATTTTGGCTGCATTGCTCCATAAATCAATGCTGTACCATCTCTTAGTGTAATAATGTATTTATTCATAAATGAAAATTTTCAATAGAGTCACTTGATGAAATTTTTAAAAATACATGTGTAGTATGCCTTGCATTTTCAAAAACAAGAATTCAATACAAATAAGTTACGTTTCCCATAGATGTATTTGGGGACAGGTAGCCTGAAGAGTCTCAAGAGTCTATGATTCTCAGAATAAGCTCTATAGTAGCTCTGATAGTGTCAGAGAGATCCAGGTATGTCACTTGGTATCCAACAATGAAGGATAATAATAGATAATATTTGTTTATCCTATACTATGTTCCATACAAATGATTTTTTTGTGTTTACTTATTTCACAAGCTATCTTTTGGCCAAGACATGAAGTATATATTTTTGACTACAAAACCCCTACTCTTAACTACTGAGTTACCTTTTCTTTTTCCTGAATAGAGAATTTAGTGCCCTTTGGTGAGGCCATATTTTCTCATTTTGCCACTAGGAATATAACTGCACAATCTTTTGTACGACTATGAATAAGAAAATGTGGTCATGGGTATGTGATTGGTTCTCTGAGCTTTTTTAGTCCTAGGTTAATCGTTTAGAGACTATACAAAGTTGTGCAGAAGAAGCTCTTGAAGCAGAGAGTCAAAGTTTTAAGAAAGGACATTTTAATTTCAGTGGAAAATTGCATGAGTTGTAGGAGTGATGTGTTTTCCGAAAGGGTCTATTGATATTAAAATATGAGAACCATTATTAAAAACTGTTAATAAATCACTTTAAGAATAATTTTACATTTAAAGAAATGCCACAATTGAAGCACAGTGTATGAGCTTTTAACATAGATCAGTGATTTTCTGTGAGATGCATTTAATTTAATACAGTAGTGGAGAAAACTTAGCCAAAGTTAAAGAATGTTCAGAAATTCTGTGTATCTTTTCAAATATT